TGCATATGATAACTGTTACAATTTTATTGATAACATCAATATTAGAATAAGAAAATCAGTTGTCCTTTAGATAATGGGATTGGAAAACGGTCTAGAATTTTTCATAAAATTCCTATTCTCATTTCAACACACATCCATAAAATGGAAGGAAAAAAGAGAAAATTGGTGTTTGTGGTTAAATATGCACATACATAGTTTGAGAAATCGTTGCCGAACTATACATGCTATTTATGGCTGGGGCTTCACGAGAAACTGAGGTTACCCAGATATAACATCAAAAATGCAGCACATTGCTAAAAATATTGTACTGTACTTGAGTTTTTGCTAAAGAGGAGATAGTAAGTGCTCTTGCCACACACACAAAAGTCGGTGAGATGATGGATATTTGCTTGATGATAGTAACCTTTTCACTATCTCTGTATCCGACATGTTATATTCTACACCCTAAATACATACAATAAATAATTTTTAAAAATTGATTCATAGGAGGTATTTACATATCCCAGATATTAATCTCTTGTTAATATATGCATTGAAAATGCCTCCTTTTTAGAATCCAGATCATTACTCATTTCACTATCTATATGGTGATACTACAAATAGAAATTTTAAATGCTTGTGTAATTGAAATACTCAATATTTTCTTCTTTGTCTCAGTTTCTGCATTTGTAAAATCTAACTAATTGCGCCCACCTCACAATGTTGCAATGACTGAATGAAATAATTCATGCAAAGCACTTATTCCATAATAGCTGAGTTTGGGGCCCATAAGTGTTTGGTAACAATTTGCTGTTTTTATTAGGGTACACTGTATTATGCAAAGACCTGTGAGGTGAAAGAAAAATAATTTTATGTCTGGGAGAAAAATAAATAAAATAAAATAATGCAGCATTTTTGGGGATTCACATATATTTTAATTTTTAAATTTCCTTTTAAAGATGAATTTTATTGCATGTATTTAAGGCATATAACATAATGTTTTTGGATACACATCGATAATAAACATGTTGCTATAGTGCAGCAAATTAACATATTCATCTTCTCACACAGTTACCTTATTTTTCATTTTTGTGCCAAGATCAGCTAATGTCTATTCATTTAGCATGGGGATTCACAAACATTTTAAATAATAAAACAGAGACAGATATTCTCTCATATTCACAGGTGAAATAAGGTAACTGAATATCTGGTAACTTAGCTGACACATGACTGCAGGTCAGGAGAAATACGCGGAAGCCTTAGAAAAGCAATCATCTAGAGATGATGCACTCTAAAGGCCACTTCCTGCACCTACCTGCATCTGGGCTTCTCTGCCAGGCTATGTGCCCTCAGACGCAGGTGTCACCTGATGTCTTCTGCTTCAACATATTCAACATTTTGAGTAGGTGAACATGACCCTTAGCTTGAAACTAAGTTGTGTCAATGATCTGGCCGAGCCCCAGGAAAAAGTAAGCTTCTGGCTAGGCTTGGTGGCTCACACCTGTAATCCCAGCATTTTGGGAGGCCAAGGCAGGTGGATCTCTTGAGCTCAGGAGTTCAAGACCAACCTGGGGAACATGGGGAAACCCCATCTCTACCAAAACTATAAAAAATAGCCAGGCAGGTGGTGCATGCCTGTAGTCCCAGCTACTTGGGAGGCTGAGGCAGGAGAATTGCCTGAGTCGAAGAGGGGGGAGATTGTAGTCCAGGAGGTGGAGATCTGCGTGACATAGTGAAACCATATCAAATAAAAAAAAAAAAAAAAAAGGAAAGAAAGCAAGAGGGAAGGTGGGAGGGAGAGAGAGAGAGAGGAGGGAAGGAAGGAAGGAAGGAAGGAAGGAAGGAAGGAAGGAAGGAAGGAAGGAAGGAAGGAAGGAAGGAAGGAAGGGAGAGAAAGAAAAAAGAAAGAAGAAAGAAAGAGAAATTAGAAAAAGAAAAAAAAGCAAGCTTCTTCTGTAACACCACTCTCTGCTTCATGCTTCCACAGTTTTGAGATCATATTTCTAATCTGGAGATCTTGAACCCCAATAAGCCTATAAAGGACTTCAGGGGTCCAAAAGTCCCTGGATCATATGCACAATGTCATGGGTTTATCTATTTTTTTCCTTGAGATAATTACCATGATGTTTATCAGGTTTTTTTAAAAGAGACCTAAAATCTCCAAAAAGAATAAAAAATCAACCAAACTGGATGGTTCCCTTCAGTATGGTTAGATTGCCCAACTTCCAGTCTCTTCTCTACTCTGAAGAGAAATTTAAACATCAGTATGGTTAAAGTACAGTGTCTTGTAAACAGTGGGTGCTCACCAAATAGTCATGACCCTAATTTTGCTTTAAAAGGCTTTCTCTGAGGACTGCTGTTCCAGTCCTTCATTTGCCGTATTATTACTTTTTCTAATCAGTGTTCTAGAATGAGCTCGTTTGGGATCACCTGGTCTCATATCTCTTTTTCTTATGCTGTAATTAGGCCAAATGATTTTAATGCAGCCCCGTGTTTCCCCTTTTGACTGCAACAAAATTTTATACAGAAATCCCACAATATCCTTCACTCTTTAATGTCTTTAGATAAACTTATGTCTCGTTTTTATGAAACAACAGTTATATCTGTTTGCAATAAATCGAGAAAATATTGAATGACATAAACCTCAGATTTACTGATGAGAAGATCAAGACCTAGATGATAGATAAATGGACGTGCCAATGGTCACAGTTAGAAGAAGGCAAATCCTGTCCGATACCTAATCCCTCTCTCTCCCTTTCTCTCTCTCTCTCTCTCTCTCTCTCTCTCTCTCTCTCTCTCTTCAATATTGAGATTTGAGGCTGCATAATTACAATTTCATGGAGGTTAATTAAATCATCTTGAGCCAGTGACTGGATGTAATGTTACCATCTGATGGCCAGGTTTCATTCAATCAGGCGACTTGTTAGAACCAAGTGATATAGTCCAGAAAGGCCTGCCCATGGGGGCTGGATGTCTTCCTCTACAAATAGTTGTTCCGATGCTCGGTCAGCAGGTTTTCTATGTAGCTCCCACCCTCCTGGGGTCACCAGGTCCTGGGGAGGGCCCTGCCTCATCTAGCTTCTCTCTTCATCTGCCCCTTAATGGTTGTCGTTAAACTACCCACAACCTACAACATCTACACGCTGCATCCGTCATTTTTTTCCAACCAGTTCATTCACCTCCCTCAGTGTTATTTGGAATACAAATTGTATTAGTCACTATGTTTATTCTGCTGTGCTCTAGAGTTTCAGCTTTGAGTGGTGCTGGTTCTTCAGCTGGAGCAAGAGTTGCCATAGAAACAGGTATACATGTTTTCTTCCTGGACAGGAAGTAAATCTGGGCTTTGCAATGCTGTTTTCAGAGTTGGTCAAGGCTCGCTTGTAATGGTTGGCTGCTTATTTAGATAGAAGACACTTGATGAGCCAAGGGATATTATTTTTTTCTTTCTCTCTCTCTCATTTTTTTGATTCCATTAAAATTGCTTTCATTTGACTTTAATTCCAAATCATTTTTCTTCCTCTTGCGAATAATAGTGACATTGAAACTCAAAACCACAACTGATTTTGACTAGAGATCTCTTCACTCCTGGGGGACTTTATTGAGGTTTGCAGAGCCACTCGGGATGTGATGTGGCAGATATTGTCTTATAGCTGTGTCACTTAGGAGCAATGAAGGCTTTAACCACAGGCAGGGAAAAGAGTTACCCTCAAAACAGAATTAAGGGAAATCAGAAAACGATCTCTTGCCCAAATATTTCCCTGGCAGCCATCTCTTGTGGCTGTCAACCACAGGGCCTGGAATTCTTGCCAGAGGGACTTCCTCCTCTTGGTCGGTATACTGCATTTCATCCAGCTATGTGAACCTGGACCATTATCCTAACTCTGAATCACAGTATCCTCAAGGATTATATGAACCTCAATGGTTCATTTCAGCTCTGAAAAGCTGTGACTATACATCCTCTAAGAGAAATAATTTTTGAATGTACTATTCAGTTATTAACACGCAACAGGTGAGTGACTTTCCTAGATTTCTCTTCAATGTTTTAACACCCGACAAGTAAATGCAGATAATGATAGATGAAGGAAGACTCCAGGGTATGTCCACGTGGGGCCTTATAAGGTCAATGGAAACCCGGGAATGGGAGGTGGGAGAGATGGAAAAGGAAGTGGATCCAGAAAAGGGAAATAAATGGACAAATACTAATGGCAAATTTGTATTTACAATTTTATCTGGAGGAATTTAAAGTGTTGTTTGTTATTTTCGTGGCATATAAAAAGAACAGAACATCTTTACATACAAATCCTTACATATCAATCAAGGAAATTTTATAAAGCGCCTAAACTATGCAAGTGTTTTGGGGGGAAATTCAAGAAAAACAGCAAAGCTAGTACTCACCCCCAAGGAATGATGAGCAGTGTTCGGTGTGAACCATGCAGGCACCTGAGGCAAGTATCATAAAGGTCTACAGTTCCTCATGAGTCACCTTTGAGGCACTGCTGGAGTTCAGAGACAGATTCCATCAATGGGAAGAAGCCAACCATTTCTTTGGCTGGTATTCCACCTCTCCCCTCTCTCTCCTGCCTCTCTCCACCATTATTGCTGGAGATGTGCATGCTGCAAGCTTTGGTGCTAGCCAGGCTGGCTGGATTTGGAGGACTGCGATAACTCCTACAGCTTTCTGAACTGGCTTTTTGCTTCATTTGTTCAGGAGTCCTTGTGCCATGTTGCTTCACTCGTAGTCTATTATTCACATGTGAGAGATGTCTTTCTTGTCAGTTTGTTCAATGAATAGAAGATACTACAATGGAACAGAGAAATTCAGAAATTCAGGCAGGTCAGAGAAATGACTAGAATACATTAGATTATTATTTCATAAAATGTAATGTGATTGAATTAGGGGGAAAAAAAGTCAGGAAAGAGACTGATGATCATAGAAGTCAATGAGGGTAAGGAGGCAGCTAATAGGAAACATCTTTTATATCCATGACTTTTGAATAACAGGCTGCCATTCTCTCTCACAGAAATAGATAAAAATGACTGAAAAGGACCCAGAGCCGCGTGTGGAGGAGGAGGAGGAGGATGACCTGGACAGCAAGCTCAATTACAAGCCTCCGCCGCAGAAGTCCCTGAAAGAGCTTCAGGAGATGGACAAAGATGATGAGAGTCTAGCCAAGTACAAGAAAACGCTGCTGGGAGACGGTCCCGTGGTAACAGGTGTGTGTGTATGGAGAAAAGGGTGGGTGGAAGGTCCCCGAGAAGGAAGAAGATATTTCAGCTGCTCAGGAGCAGCCGCAAAGGGAAGAGGACCAACTGCTTCCAGGAATAAGTGGGCGAAGCACAATTTCTATATGCTGATTAAAGCTATGAACTGTGTAATTAAGTCATCTTAGGAAAGAAGATGCAGTCAGCAGTGAGATACGCACACATAACACACAGGGAAATTTAGAAAGAAGTCCAGACTGTTACTTAGAATTATATTTCCCTCCCTCCATTTTCTCTCTTTCTTCCTTTTTCCTTTCTCAGTCCTTACCTAACCGTTCATCTCTTCCACATAGACCTTGGCAGAACAAGACATAGCTCAGTGATAGAAGTGGGCAGTGCCCAACTAGCAGAGTACCTGACCCATAGCCACTCAGGAAATGCTGAATGCCAATAATTAGGATGGACCTACAAGTGCCTGAAGCAGAAATAACACTGCTGTAATTTACAAGGCCATCACGATCAAGCAGAGTGAACCTGCCACATCCATTTCTGTTTCTACTACAGATAGAGAGATCACTTTTATTTTTGTACTCTCTCTCTCTTCCACTTGAAATGCACACTCCCACTACGCACATGTCTGATCTTGGTGCTTACATTCCCTTTTGATCCTGCAGATCCGACAGCCCCCAATGTCACTGTCACCCGGCTCACCCTGGTTTGTGAGAGTGCCCCAGCACCAATCACCATGGACCTTACTGGTATGTGGACTCATCTGTACTATTTAGAGGCAGCCTAAGATATCACAAAGAGAATTTGGTCTTTGCCTCCTGTTCCAACAAAACAAAACTGGTGAATCAGAGAGGTATATATGCTGGGACCAGTTAAGAAGCCATTGCTCTTAGAGTGCACAGTATTTACCATGTTTCATGAAAAGCCAAATCTCTATCTCTGTTTAATTGATGAGGGTGCAGGCATATACATTTGAAATATTTACAGATTTTCATCTGCAAATGATAGTAAGAGAACTGTCATTTATGCAGTAAAGACTGCTGATGGAAATATTAAGAAACAAGTTGTGTGCTTCTGAAGTTGTAAGGTTTATATAGTCTAAGCATCAAAGCATTCATCTTTTATCAGCTACAAAACTTACCTGAAGGTGAGAAGCAATCCTGAATTATGCTAGAAATTCCACTGCTATAGATTGTTTTAGCTTGAAACTCTGGTTCTTGTTAAATAAACAACATCCCCTACTAAGGGCATACTAATTAAGATTTTGTTATTTTCTTTCATGTTATTGTGACTAAGGGTCAAGTCTTTCCCTGAGACTTAGGCTTGAGGAGATGGAGAAAGACTGGGAAGGTGGGTATTGTGGAAAATATGGGCATCTCAGAGGAATGAGAAGAGAAGCACAGAGCCAGGAGATTGGGGGCATCAAAGGCAAGTCTTTAGTGAAAAAAAAAGTTACCAAATTAAAAACTTGGACTCTTTTGAGACAGAGCAAAGCACAAGTTTAGAAGAGTAGGCTTAATTAGCAGCAGGGTAGTTCCCCTCTCACAGGACATAGCCAGTCTTTACCTTATATGGGCTTTATTTTGTCAGAGGGAGGAAATCAGAGGCTGAGAAGACACACTTCCTGTTCAACTGAAATCATTAGAGCAGGCACACACATAAATTCAGCTACCCCCACATGTTCGAATCCCTCCAGGAGAGAAACGCACACTCTCTCACCAGAACTCAGAGTCTTCCTAATAGTACCAGATACAGTTGCCAGTCTACAAGAGAAGGTGTGAATAGTACTGAAGAAATCTGTTCTGTTCGGCAGGGCCTGGCGGCATTGCAGGGAAACTTGGTCTCTGTCCCTTTTCCAAGCAGAAGAAAACCAAATTTGGTTTTCTGTCACAAAAAAAGCTGCTATGAACAAAGAAAAGAATAGAGAGTGATTACTTCCTTAACCCGGGAACAGGAATTAGGGACAGATCCTGGTTTTATGGAACCTGAAGTTTTTATAACTTCAGTGGTATTCCTTAAGAAAAATAGTGTGAAATTGCAAATGAAAATACGAAAGTAAACACAAAAGTGAATATTTACTTATAGTAATAAAAGGAATAAAAACAAGTAGAATTTTAAAAGCTAGAAAATGCCACAAATATCACCAAATCTATAAAAACAAATAGCTAACACTCTTATGTAACATTCTTCTCAATTTTTTTATTTGAGGGGTGGGGCCGTATTCTTTAATGACCTCTTCATTTAACTGGATATATGTAATATCATTTTCTTTCAATAAGAGAATAAATTGACCAAAAAAAGATTGATCTTCACAACTCATTGGTAGTTCACAACATACTGGCAATGTCTTGTGTATTTTTAGCCTTGTCGTCAAACTTGAGGGCAGGGAAACGCTCATGTTTTTCGTAACAAAGCTGTAAGATTTCAGATATTACATGTGTGTGCGCGCCTGCGCGCACACGCAAGGACTAAATTAAAATACTCTGCGAATTAAGGGTCCTATAAACCATGTTGCCCTGGTGGGCCAAACAGATTTCTCTGGAGCTTAAAACTCATTCATTAACTTGTGTATCTGCTTTTGAGGAAGATAAACTCTTTCTAAATCTTCTCCCACAGGAGATCTGGAAGCCCTCAAAAAAGAAACCATTGTGCTAAAGGAAGGTGCCGAATATAGAGCTAAAATTCACTTCAAAGTAAGAATCCTGCCCTGTGTGTTTTTGTAAAGTTTAAATCTTTCCTTCAGTCAGTGACTAAATTTCTTGCACAATCATGTTGAGATGCTTTTGTTTGCTTCTCCCCAAATGCCCCCATGTGGGTCTGGAATGTCCTCTTCCCAGCCCTGAGTGCTGCCTATTGAGACCCACACTTGCTTCATGCCTTTTCCTAGCCAGGACTTCTTAAACTCTTCATTATCGCCTAAGCCAATGGGATCCCTCTGTCTGTGAACTCTGAATACATTCACAAGGCACACACTACTTTGTGTTGTAGCTCCTGTGTCATTTCATCTTCATACAACATAAGCATCTCAATCTGGGGTGAAACTGTACATCCCTCCTTTCCAGTATTTCACACAAACTTTGTAAATAGCAGATGGTTCATGAATATATATTGAAAAGTGGATGAACAAATGAATCAACCAATAGGAAAAGAAAATGGAACAGATAGGGCCTCAGCTCTAATTGCTCAAAGATTATATAAATCCAGGGAGTGTAATCTTTGCTAAAGAACTGGAAATTACAATTATAATTGTGGAACAGGTAACCAGGAAAGAGGAAACTAAATAAGAAATAAACTAACGTCTAATGAATAGCCATATATTCCAACGAGTAGCCAAACTTACAAGAAAAATAACCTCGACTTTGAAAACAAGTAAGTTAGAAATGCAGTGTTTGCACTTAGTGGTTTATGTTTGTTTTGGTGGCCTCTTGTTCCCACTTGGCCTCATTCTCTAAGGCCTGGGCTCCACCAAGGAAGACTCCATCTGCTCTCACTATTTGCACACTGGGACCTTCTTTCCCCAAGGTACAGGATATGATTCAGGGTCAATGGGTGATCCCTCCCTACCCATACCAATATGCCTGAAAATAATTTCATCTTGGAAATATTTGTTGATGCATACTCTATAATGGACATTGAACTAGGGTTCACTTACTTGGTTCCTGTCATATTATTTATTATTGAAGCACCTGAGGGTTTGGTAAGTCATTATTTCAAAATATGCCTAGAATGGGTTGCACATCAGTTTCATTTTTAATCATTGATGCTATTGCATTACTTTCTCCATTAAGTAAGCCAGTGTTTATGAAATGAAGTGTGACAGGTAAATTTTGATGTGAATAAGATGAGAAGGAAAACTCTGGAACAGGGGCTTCTCCTCTGGATGGGGAGGGCGAGGAGGAGTGTGGTGACGTGGGTCTGGGTGGTCAGGTTTACACATTAGGATGATGCAGGAGGAGGCCACATAAAGGGGTTTTGAGTACTCTCTATTTCAGAGGTTTGATGGCTCTCTGAGTAACCTACATAAAGTTGAACCATCCCGTGGCTTGTCCCAGCATGGCGCCACAATTATAAGAAACGCCAGATCAGAGTCGAAAAATCCTTGAAGAGTAACTTAAATCTTTACTGAAGTCTCTTGAAACGTGTCCAGGAAAGTTTGCATTTGTAACACTAGCAACAAATACTAAAGTCCTCTTTCACGATCTCTGTTAGTGGCACTCAATGTTCTTTTTCTCCTCCCAAACTTCTTAGCACTTTCTAAAAATCTGGTCTAGGATTGTTCTTTTAGCTTCTCCCCAACTTATTTTCTGTCTCCCAAGTAAATGTGGTATCTCTGACTTCCTCAGCTCTCACTTTTATTCGTGACACCAAGGCTTCTTTCTCCTGGGGTGGGAGACACAATACGGATGGGGATGGGGGCAAAAGAAGCGGATCTGTGAATATTCGTAGTTTTGTCTCACCCACCCCAAATGTATTTATATTAAACAGACCCACTGCGGAGCACTGATAAGATGGGAGACTCTTTGTCTTGAAGTCCTTATGGCTACTGCACTATCATTCTTCTTAGGTCTTTCTCCCACTAGGTAAAAGGGATAAGCCTGGGGACATCTAGAAAGATGTATTTATTTTCCCTATTCCTATGAGCTACATTTGGGACTGACTCAGACTTATTAGAAAGGCTGGGCTTCATTTTATCACAGTCTCTTTGATGAGGCTAATTTTTTTTTCTAGCAGCTTTTGATAGGTTTATATTACAGATTTACCCTGTGACAGTCTTGAATCTAAACTGGCAGTGTTCACTGCTCTGCCACCTTCCTGCCAACAAAACAAAAGATAGCACTGTTGATTGGTTTAACCGTTGTAACCACCGCCAAAGGACAGCCATAATTATTGTTGAAGAAAAATTATTTGAAGATGCTTTAATTCTTTGCACTGGTAAACAGATAACCAGGCCCTCCAGCTAATGATACACTGTCCACTTTAATTTGTTTGTATAGACATAACCACTGTGTAAAATTAACAGACAACCCAGGTCAGTCCTAGGTAAAATGAATCATGGAAAAACAAAGTTCTTGGGCTATCTATATTTTCATTCTGCGTTACCGAATTTTTTTTGAAAGGCTTGGGAAAATAGCAAGATCTCAGACAACGTCTGAAAACGACAGACATCCAAAATACTTGCCAGATACAAGTGAATTTCACTCATTATTTCAGTTACATTGCAGGCACAGCCATCTTCTAGACATGAATTTTCCATTATAGCTTTCCTCCTTGTTGTTTTTCATATGGTAGCTGGATCATCTCGGGGGTTGTAGTTTTTAGGTATTTACGTAATATGCTCTATTGGTATCTTAATAACTTTTACTAAGACACGGATGGTCTCCTGGTCAGTAGTATTGGAGAGGGAGAGCTCAAGGCCATTCTTGGGACCATTGAGAAAAGAGGAATACAATGAAGAATATTGAGACATTTTAATGAACCACTCCTCTCTCTCTCAAAACAATAAAAAAAAATAACAATGTTCGATAATTAAACCAGTTAGGCAATGTTGCGTTTTATGATCTCCTCTCTCTAAGCTTTGCCTCATGGCCATTCTAAATAATTATAGAAACACCTATTCTGAACTAAACCTTTAGTTTTTTCATTTTCAGGGAAGATTTAGTTAGCCAGGATCAGCATGAAAGATGAGAAAAAATGAAAGACCCTCTTAATCTGAATAGCTTGGTTCCTTCCCACCTGCAGGTGAACAGGGATATTGTGTCAGGCCTGAAATATGTTCAGCACACCTACAGGACTGGGGTGAAAGGTAAGGGAACCCACATTCCCACACTGTCTCAAACTGCTTCTCACTGATACTTTAACTTCTGGTTATTAGCAACTTTTAGCTGTAGACTCAGATGAGAATACGATAAAAGCTGTGGATGCCCATGCTAGGAAAAGGCACAAATACACCTCTGATCTAGACATTGGCAAGGCCAGTGCTCAAGGGACCTAGTTTAAACTGGGTCAGCTGCTAGCCTTCAGCAATCAGCTTTTATGATTTAACATTATCACTCATAAAGGAGAAGAGTAACCAAGACAGGTTTGAAGGAAATAAATACAAAGTTAAAAAAAAGTAAATAAAAGCAGTTCACAGGTACAAAACCCAAGTGTGAGAGAAACCCAAGAAAGAAAAAGCTTGCCCAGTGGTATTATATGTATTTGGGGCAGGAGTAAGTGGAGGTGGCATTGGAGGGAAGCGGGAGGCAATGCTCAATTTCCTAACAAAGAAATAGAAAAAAATATTTTTTAGGATTGAATAAAACCTCTCTAATTGAAACAAATAACATGACAATGTTACTTAATCTGCAGTTCTTCTTGACATGCCTTGGAAAGCCACCTTCAATTTTCTTTCATTAATATGGGCAGAGAGAAATGAGAGGCAGGAAGGCGACGAACACACTTTACGGTTCCTTTCTATCTGAGGGTCTGTCCTCTCCAGAGACGGGAAACAATAAACCATATATGTCAATTTCACCAAATTAATAAGCAGGATGGAGGAGAAATTGTCTGGTAAATTTGTATGACAGAGGACCAGTCAATTTCTCAAATCCCAGAGAAGACCATTGACCTGAAAGGCTATTGATTGGCCTTTTCAATACCTAATCTCATGGAAAAAAAAAAGTTTATTTTTCTATTTTCCTTTGGGTATAAAACCAGTATCACCTCACTGAGACAAAAAGACAGTGACGTGTCTGCAGCTGTTCCTTCAAACTTATTAGCCACACTTAGCAAACTATGTGCCACCAATCTGCCTACCTTTATTTATCCTCTTTAATGCCCAACTATTCTTAATATATATTCCAGTTAACCACCTATAAATAAACTCGACTGGCTGTTTTCACCATTTATCCCAGTTCTTCACTTTTTTTTTTTTTTTAACCAATTTATTGCTGTTCTTTTTCCATCCAATTATTGTATCCATGAATTCTGATCACCATTTGTCACTTTATCTCCCACAACTGACATGCTCATAGAATGATAGTCCGTAGATAGACAATTCTTAAAGTCCATTACATACACAAAAAAACGGAGGCTCAAAAATGTTATATGACTTAGGCCATTGCAGGACTGAGATCAGAACTTAGGTCTCAATTTGTTTGAGTTTTTTTTTTTTTTTTTTTTTAATGGTGTAGTCTGCTATATCTCCATTTAAAAAAAAAAAAAGCAGGCGTAATACTCATTGATTTAGGCCACTGGTTCTCCAAATTTACATTAGAATGAACTGTGTAGTTTTTTAAAAAACACTGATTCTTGGGACCCACAGGTTACTGAACCATAGCCTTTGGAAGTAGGACAAAGGAAACCGTATTATTAAAAGGTGCTCCAATTTTTTTTAAATGTTTTAAAGAATTAAAAAAAAAAATAAATGCCTCAGGGCCGGGCATGGTGGCTCACGTCTGTAGTCCCAGCTCTTTGGGAGGCTGCGGCGGGCAGATCACAAGGTCAGGAGATTGAGACTATCCTGGCCAACATGATGAAACTCCATCTCTACTAAAATACAAAACATTAGCCGGTGTAGGGGTGGGTGCCTGTGATCCCAGCTACTCAGGAGGCTGAGGCAGGAGAATCTCTTGAACCCAGGAGGCGGAGATTGAGGTGAGCCAAGATCGCGCCATTGCACTCCAGCCTGGGTGACAAGAGGGAAACTCCGTCTCAAAAAAAAAAAAAAAAAAAAAAAAAAAAGGCCTCAGGTAAGTCTGATGTTTATTCAGGCTTGCAAACTATTGCTCTTGGCTTTAATCACTGTAGGCTGTACTCCAGATTCTCCAGTTTGCAGTGTGTGTTTTTCCTCTATCGGGCTCTTACCCTAATGTACTCTTCTTGCTTCCTAGTGGATAAAGCCACGTTTATGGTTGGCAGCTATGGGCCTCGGCCGGAGGAGTATGAGTTCCTCACTCCAGTTGAGGAGGCTCCCAAGGGCATGCTGGCCCGAGGCACGTACCACAACAAGTCCTTCTTCACCGACGATGACAAGCACGACCACCTCAGCTGGGAGTGGAACCTGTCGATTAAGAAAGACTGGACAGATTGAATGCATCTGCCCATCCCTTTCCCCACCCTTGCCACCTGGAAGAATTCTCTCAGGCGTGTTCATCTCCCTGTCCCTCCTCCCTGTCCACAGCTGGATCCCTCTCCAATGGTGTCCACATTCCCATATTGATGCATCTTTTCCCACCTGTTTCTTAAAGGGGTTCCTAGCACAAGAGTCTTAAAACCGGGCTTTCACCCTGCCTGCTCTCTGATCCTCCATCAGGGCCAGGTCTTCCACCTCTACATCTCGATACACCATCATTTAATATTTCCGTCTCTTACTTTCATTCGAGCAACTAGAGAGCAGGAAATGGGCAATCACAAACAGGTCTTTGACTCAGGTTCCGGTAGTTCATGCTAATGCCTGGATTCTTTGGTGGTTGCTGGCCCATTGAGTCCCTCATCACATCCCCTGCCAGATGGAGTTCTTCTTTTGTGGGAGACACTGTAAACAACACAAGAGAATAAGAATAAAACAATAACTGCGTGTGTTCTGACTGAGACTTCATTTCCCTGCTTTCTTCCTTTGAATAAATATGCTAACTGGATGGCTCACATTCGTGAGTTCCCTTAGAGGGGATGGGGATGGGGATGAGGAAAACACACTGGAGATATTTACATCATTGGGAACAAATCGGCCCGCTATTACACTGCAATAGGCAATGAACATTGGGAATACACGGTGGGAAGTCTACATTTTACTTACTTGGTTATTTTTAATTTCAACTTTTATGTGAGATATAGGGGGTATGTGTGCAGGTTTGTCACATGGGTATATTGCACCCAGGTAGTGAGCCTAGTACTAAATAGGTAGGTTTCTAAACCATGCCTCACTCCCTCCCTCGCCCCTCAGGTAGTCCACAGTATCTGCTGTTTCCCATGTCTATGTCCATGTGTGCTCAGGATTTCTGTTTCTACACTGTTTTGCTTATGATCATGGCCTCTAGGTTCGTCCATATTGCTGCAAGTAATATGATTTTACTTTTTTATTATAACCGTATAGTATATCATGGCATATATGCACCATATATTTTTATCCAGCCCACCATTGATGGGCACCTACATTGATTCCATCTCTTTGTTACTGTGAATGGCACAACAATGAACATACATGTATACATGTGCATGTGTCTTTTTGGTATAATGAGTTACTTTCCTTAGGATATATAGGATTGCTGAATCAATTGGGATCTCTGTTTTAAGTTTTTTGAGAAATCTCCAAACTGGTCTCTCTCTGTATGTTAGTAAAAATACTATGCCTTGGAATGTTAATGGTACTCCTAGAAATTGGAGTACTCTCTGGCCTTAGTATAGAGATAAAAGCTATAGATGCCCTCATTTAGAGTTGCTTTCCACAGTGGCTGAACTAAGTTACATTCCCATGAACAGTATATAAGTATTCTCTTTTCTTTACACTCTCACCAGTGTCTGTTGGTTTTTGGTTTTTTAAATCATGGCCATTCTGACTAGTCTGAGATTGTATCTCATTTTGGATTTGATTTGCATTTACCTGATAATTAGTGATGTTGAGCATTTTTTGTATGTTTGTTGGCCACGTGTGTCTCCTTTTGAGAAGTACCTGTTCATGTTCTTTGCTCATTTTCTAATGGGGCTATTTGTTTTTTGCTTCTTGATTTGTTTAGGTTTCTTAAGGATTCTGAATGTCAGACCTTTGTTGGGTGCATAGTTTGCATATGTTTTTTTCCCCATTCTGTAAATTGTCTGTATACTTTATCAATAGTTCCTTTTACTCTGCAGAAACTCTTTAATTAGGTCTGACTTGTCAATTTTTGTTTTTGTTGCAATTGCTTTTGAGGACTTAGCCAAAAATTCTTTGTCAAGATTGATGTCAAAAAGAGTATTTCCTAGGTTTTCTTCTAGGGCTTTTATGATTTGAGGTCTTAAATTTTTAATGCATCATGAGTTAATTTTTTTATATGGTGAAAGATAAGGGTCCAATTTCATTCTCTGCATATGGCTAGCCAGCTATCACAGCACCATTTATTGAGTTGGGAGTCCTTTTCCTCATTGATTGGTTTTGTTCATGTTGACAAATGTCAAATGGTTGTAGGTATATGGCTTTATTTCTGAGTTCTCTATTCTATTCCATTGGTCTATGTGTTTCTTTTTGTACCAGTAGCATGCTATTTTGGTTGCTATAGCCTTATAGTATAGTTTGAAGTAGATAATGTAGTCACAAAGTCTTTGGCTTTGTTCTTTTTGATTAAGATTGCTTTAACTAGTCAGACTCTTTTGGTTCCCTATAAAGTTTAGAATCGCTTTCTAATTCTGTGAAGAATGACATTGGTAGTTTTACAGGAATAACATTGAATCTGTAAATTGCTTTGGTCAGTATGGTCATTTTAAAGACATTGATTCTTCCTATCCATGAGCATGGAATGTTTTTTCATTTATGTCACCTCTGATTTCTTTCAGAAGTGTTTTGTAGTTCTTGCAGAAATATTTTACTTCCTTGGTTATTTGTATTCCTAGGTATTTCATTTTATTTGTGGCTATGGTAAATGGAATTATGTTCTTGATTTGACTGTCAGCCTGGGCATTATTGGTATATAGAAATGCTACTGAGTTTTGTACATATTTTTTTCCTGATACCTTACTAAAATCATTTATCAGTCCTAGCAGCCTTTTGGCAGAGTCTTTAGACCTTTCTAGGCATACAATCATATTGTCAACAAGGAGAGAGAGTTTGCCTTCTTCTTTTCTTATTTGGATGCCTTTTATGTCTTTCTCTTCCCTAGTTACTCTGGCTAGTTACTTCTTTTATGATATTTTCACATGAAAATTCTCCTAATCTTAAGACTACATATGCCTGTGGAAATCTCATCTTGGACTTTCTCAGACACTTGTGGGCAAAATCAGACTTTGTCTCTTTCTTCTTCTTAAGACTTTTCAGTGGTTCTTGTCACCTACAGAATAAAGTTGAAGCTCTTGCGCTTAGCATATCACATAAGACCTGTTGTGAACCGTTCCCAACATGCCTTTCTGCCTTCATGTATCATTTCCTCCCTTTTCATCATTCTCAATTACTAATAATTCTGTCACACATTATATTTGCATCTCTGTTCTTTGGTTCTTTACATAAAACTCCCTTTTTACCTTTTGTTTCCTGGGGAAAACTTATTTACTCGGGACTCTGCTTGGCATCCGCTGCAGGAAGAACACTTTCATTGAACCCTAGCATTGTCCCTAATACCCTTCATCTGTACTGTCATAGCACCCTGTGAATTTTTCTATATCATTTTCCATTTTATATTTAAATTGTCTTTTTACTTGCTTATCTCTCCCACTGACAATCTAAGCTGGCAGAGGCTGATCAGATCATAATTATCTTTCTACTCCTAATGCTAGGGTCAATACCTGGTATGGAATATTTACATTTTTTATTTAAATAAACTGACCTGACTTTCTTCTGGTTGGTTACATTCTGTGGCCCTGTCACTAAACTCGGTCTTTTATCTCAGAAGTTGAAGGCTCCCTTGGAGCCAGCTGCTAAGTTCCCAGAGTCCTAATAACCCCACACCCAATCAGCTACAAAGTGGGCTGTCCTGAGTCAGCATTCCAAACACGAAGTCCAGAGTTGGAGCAGAAGCAGGAAAGGCACAATGGAAGCTCTGCCATCCAAGTTCATGTTCCTCCTATTTCTCCTCATGTGTGAGCTGGCCCCAGAAGTTGCTGCAGAAGTTGAGAAATCCTCAGGTAAAAGAAAAATGTAGTTGGATGGCCATAGTGTGAAAGTGTTCTTAGGAAAAAGTAAGGTAGCATGGTGGTTCTCTGGGTACTTTTGCTCCACACCTAGAAAGCTTTCTAAGAAATCATGGATAAGATGCATTTTTTAAATTGTACTTTAGGTTCTGGGGTACATGTGCAGATCATGCATGACTGTTGCATGGGTACATACATGGCAATGTGGTTTTCTGCCTCCATCCCCCCATCACCTATACTATATCTGGTGTTTCTCCCTGTTATTCCTCCTGAACCTCCCCACCCCCCGCACTGTCCCTCCCCTAGTCCCTCCAACAGACCCCAGTGTGTGATGTTCCCCTCCCTGCGTCCATGTGTTCTCATTGTTCAACACCTGCCTATGAGTGAGAACACGTGGTGTTTGATTTTCTGTTCTTGTGTCAGTTTGCTGAGAATTATGGTTTCCAGATTCATCCATGTCCCTACGAAAGACACAAACTCATCATTTTTTATGGCTGCATAGTATTCTATGGTGTATATGTGCTGCATTTTCCTTGTCCAGTCTATCATTTTGTCTAGTCGAGAGCAGGGAAATCTGGCAGTATTCTTCAGAGACAGACCATCAGTAGGGTCACCTTCCATATGTTAGTAAAAATATTATGCCTTGGAATGCTAACAGTACTCCTAGAAATTGTGCTCTCCTCGGCCTTAGTATAGAGATAAAAGGTATAAATGCCCTCATTATTTAGAGCCACTGCTTCTCGCTTCAGTACCCTGATATCTTCTGCTTCTCTCTCTAGATGGCCCTGGTGCTGCCCAGGAACCGACGTGGCTCGCAGATGTCCCAGCTGCCATGGAATTTATTGCTGCTACTGAGGTGGCTGTCATAGGTTTCTTTCAGGTTAGTTCAGCTACCCTACTTGCAATTCCTCCAAGAGCTAGAAATGTTCTACCTCAAGGGAACCGCAGCAGCCACCTGCTGGCAGATGACACTGCATTAGAAATGGGAGGAAAGGGAGACAGCCACACAGTTTGCTTTCATCTTGTCCATTGGGATCTCTTACTTTCAAGACATTCCCAGCCCCTAAGTTATAGATTTCTCATACTTACTTCAAGAGTTCTGAGACTGTGGGTTGAATCTGTTCACATACGGATGCTCTGAAGCTCGAGTCAGTATCTGCAGAAAGAATGCCTTCATGGAACCCTACCATTGTACTGAATGTATTTGGTCTGCACTCTCATAGCACCCTATGAATAGGCAGGGGCCAGAATGAGCCCAATTTATATCATCTAGCAACACTGTTTACAGGATGCTGAAGCCCCTGGGCATTAGTCAGTGCACAGCCTTTTAAAGCATTTCCACAAATAGGTAGACTCTCATTCTTCTTTCTCTTTGCCTTCTCTGAAATACTAGAAAAGGATGGCATTTTGTATATTCAAGGTGTTAACCTCCATCTTCCAGACTGGCTGCTTGAAAAATAAAGGCATCCGTAAATGAGACTGCCTTATTCCAGCATTTTCTTCTTTCTCTGGGGTGGTAGCATCTGGTAATCCACACAGCTGATCAAGCCCTACTCTCTCAAAGCAGACCTTCTTGTCTGTTTCCGTTCATCAATTCCAACTCCCGATTATCCTGTTAATTCTGTGTACACAGCTGGAAATCACTGCAATGATATGCAACTGGGAGAGGAAGATAGGGAGCACATTTTTCAGGGATGAGAAATCTGAGCTGTAGACAAAAACACCCTCAGAAAGATGGGGAAGGGGCAAGAGCATGGAACTGAAGGAGTGTGCAATAACTTAAACAACCGCCAGATGCCACCACTTTATCCTTGAGCAATTCCATCTGAAGGAGCAGAATAAGAAAGGAGGCCTCAATTAGCTATTGTTCATGGCCTGTAGTGAACTCCACACACCATTTCAGAAGAGCAGATACCAGCTCTCTCAACTTGACCCCAGATGCAAGACTAGTATGTTTGCCCATTCTCATGCTGCCATAAAGACATACCCAAGACTGGGGAATTTATAAAGGAAAGAGGTTTCATTGCATCACAGTTCAGCATGGCAGGGAAGGCCTCAGGAAACTTAGAATCGTGGCAGAAGGAGCCTTCACAGGACGGCAAGAGAGAGAATGAGCACAAGTAGGGGGGACGCCAGACGCTTATAAAACCATCAGATCTTGTGAGACTCACTCACTGCCACTAGAACAGCACGCAGGAAACTGCCCCCGTGATCTCATTACTGCCACCTGGTCCCACCCTTGACATGTGGGGATTATGAAGACTACATTTCAAGATGAGATTTTGGGTAGGGACACAGCCAAACCATATCAACTAGCCATCTTCTTTTCTCCTTGCACATCTCCTCCTTCAGCTTGGGGAGTCACAGGGTAGAACATGTTTGCTCCTGTTAATTTCCTGGAGCTTCTGTGGATAAAGGTCCCATGACAACAGGGAAAATGATGCCACTCTGCATAGAAGGCCTGGAATCATTGCTCAGAAGTGGCTTCTTCCTACAGGCCTGGGCTGCAGAGTTGGGTGCCTGAACAGTGTCTTCATATGCAAAGCTCAGGCTTACCTACAGTGGCAAGAGAGGGACAGTCCTTACATAGCCTGCATAAACTTTTGTTAAAACTTCTAAGCTTTCATTTTAATTATTTTATTATTTTATTTTTTTATTTTTGGGGGGCCTTTTGATGGCACCTATTTCATATTTTTTTCCTTTTTTTCCTTTTTTGCACAAATGTAACCAAAGCCAAAACTCAAGATACAAGAATCAGTGGGAGGAAAAGCATGTTTATTTAAAGAGCCAGTAAACCAAGAAGACAGTGGACTAGAATCCTAAAGTACATCTTGGCCAGGCACAGTGGCTGACATCTGTAATTCTAGGACTTTGGGATGCAGAGGCGGACAGATTGGCTGAGCTCAGGAGTTCGAGGCCGGCCTGGGCAACATGGCAAAACTCCATGTCTACTAAAAATACAGAATAAATTAGCCAAGTATGGTGGAATACACCTGGAGTCCCAGCTACTCAGGAGGGTGAGGTACAAGTATCTAGGAGGTGGAGGTTGCAGTGAGCTAAAATTGCACCACTGCACTCCAGCCTGGGCAACAGAGTAAGACTCTATTTCAAAATAAATGAATAAATAAATAAATAAAGTAAATCTTAAGTCACTACCAATTTTAGGCTCTTTGTATGTTAAGAGCAGGGGGAAGAGGAGGAAGGTGGGATCAAGCAATAACAGGCAACCATAGGCATCTGGACACCAGCAAGGGTCCCAGGAGGCTGGGAATTTCTTTGTCCTTGGTCAGGCCACAATGCACCTATAAATCTTTAACACAACATAGTTAGTTGTTTACATACTTTTCCTTTAATCCTAGAATTCATTTTAAAAACTATATAACTGCTATTTTTACATATTATCTCAGTGCTCTAAAATTATTCTAACTTACACGCAGGAATGGGTAAATACCCCTTAAACAAAAATAGAGTTGGTTATGTTAGTTCATTTGCTGTTTCACTGTTAAACAAATTGTTCCCAGAACAGTTGCTTCTCAGGTATATCAATGACAGTGCAGCCAAACTAGGCAGGCCTTTATGATTCTGAGGCCTCTCTCAGCTCCTAGTAAACTTCAAGCTCTATGACAAGGCTTGACAGGAGTCTCAAGCTCAGCTACAATTTCATGGTTACCTACTAACTCACAGAGCCTAGGAAATTAAAAATGTCACTGCCTATTAAACCTACGCTATTAGAGGTAAATCATCATGTGTTACTGGGCAGTAAATCAAACCTATGATTTCTGGTAAGCATCATAGCACACTTCTTTTCCCTATCCTTTGTCTCTCTCTTTCTAAATAACCAGGGTGGTATTATTTTTTCTCTTGTTTTTAGGATTTAGAAATACCAGCAGTGTCCATGCTCCCTAGCATGGTGCAAAAGTTCCCAGGTGTGTCATTTGGAATCAGCACTGATTCTGAGGTCCTGACCCACTACAATATCACTGGGAACACCATCTGCCTCTTTCGCCGGGTAAGTTGGATGGGTAGCTTGAGCTTTCCCCCAGATTTTCATTAAGTCGTGCACTCGTAAACTTGTGAGACTGGAAAGGACTCTTTGACACTAATGATGATGCCAAATTCAGGGACATTGTTGACAAGGATGATGACTCAACTCAAGCTTCCCAAACAGGTTACTGTGATGAAATGGAAAGAGGACAGGAATGGAATTTGTGGTACTGTTTTGTTGCTCAATAACAACATGACTCGTGGCAGTCACTTAACATTTTTAGCTGCAATTCTTTCCTTTATAAAATAAAAGAGTTAGACTGTATCATCTGTAAGGTCACTTTGAGCTCCAAAATTTTTATATGAAATATTTGGAGGAGTTCATCTATGGTCTTCAAATATTTCTTTATTAAATACTTCCTGTATGCCCTACGCAAGATGCTGATAATAAAAACATGTTAAATACATTCTCCACTTTCATAGATCTTAGAGAATGGTAGGGATTGTAAACATAATATGCAAGTATCTATACTACAAAGAGCCGACTTCTGATCCTCTTGCTGCTTTTATAGTCTCCTTGAGACCTTCTCTTCCTGTATCTACAATGCTGCCTGACCCAACACTTTTTCTAATCTAGGTCATAGAACCCATGCTCTGAAAGGCAGAGACCATTCTGTTCAGTGTATCCACAGAGCCCAGAACAGTGCCTGCCATGCAGTAGGTGCTCACTAAGTATTTGTTGAGAATGAATGTATGAATGAATCAATGAATGAGTGGATATGTTCTACATAAGAAATGCAATTATTTTGCAGATTCCACTATTATGTGCTTACTGAGCATTTAGAATATTTAATCTCTAGTCTAGATTTCTCTCATGTTTCAAACGTTTCCTGGATATGAGCATTTTTATACCCTCATAAGCACTATACTCTTAAAATGATCAAAACTGAATTTATCGTCTGTACCTGCTAATTATATTCCTCCATCTAAGATATTGTTTTATTAAATGTCTATGCTCATTTGGTCTTTCATTTTTGCCAGTTGTATCTTTTAATTTGAATCTATATTCTCCTCCACTCCTTCTACCTCATTCTGTATTTAGGTTCTTAGCATCATCGGCATAAGCAATTTCAATAGCTTCTTAACCGATCTACTTTTACTACTTTATATACAGTTTCTAGAATGGTATCACAATGATGTATTTAAGATTGAAATTTGACCATGGCACGCCTCTCTTTAAAACGCTTCAATAGTTCTCATTTCTTACAAGATCAAAAACGAGACATTTAATGTTACAAATAGGCTTTGCTGACCTGCCTCGCTGCCTGCTTCTCAATCTCTTTGTCCATCCAGCTTCCACCCTGGGCTTTACCCTCTCAGTAGCCAACTATACACATTATCATCATCCAATTCCATGATCTCGCCTGGACCATTCCTTCTGTCTAGAATGCCACCGCCCAGGGGTCCCCTTTCACCTAGCCTTACCCGGATGACTCCTCCTCAAACTCCAGTGAGCCAGTTCAGGAATGTTACTCTTCAGGAAGCCTCCTTGGAATCTCCAAATGGGCATTTAAGCATTCCTCTATTTGTAATTTCTTTCTTCTTCTTTCTCCTTCCTTCCTTCTTTTTTTTTTTTTTTTTTTTTTCAGAGACAGAGTTTCACTCTTGCTGCCCAAGCTGAAGTGCAATGGCGCGATCTAGGCTCACTGCAACCTCTGCCTCCCAAGTTCAAGTGATTCTCCTGCCTCCCGAGTAGCTGTGATTACAGGCGCATGCCACCATGTCCAGCTAATTTTTTGTATTTTTAGTAGAAATGGGGATTGACCATCTTAGCCAGGCTGGTCTCGACCTCCTGATCTCAGGTGATCTGCTCGCCTCAGCCTCCCAAAGTGCTGGGATTACAGGCGTGAACCACTGCACCTGGCCAATTTCTTATCTCTAGTTTTATTTATCACTTTATAGTTCGTAATATATATTTATATATCTGTCTCCTCTATTACCCTGCTTAGGTTATTACCTATTTAAGGTTGGAAACTATGACTCATTCATCTTTGTATTCCAAAGGGCTATAATACACCTCTGGCACCTTGAAGGCACTGGGAAGTTGCTTGGGGAACTGAACTCACCTCCAAAAGTATATCTGAGGTTTTGCAAGCTCCCTTCAGCAACCTGTTTCCCACCTGCACAGTAGCTGCTGGTTTGCATTCTCACCAGTGTGAAATAGGATTATATCAAGTTCTTCTGTGAAAACCTTTGGTAAGGAAGATATGGAAGGTTAGGCAAATGCCTTCCATGTTGCCATTGAACCACTGGTAGAAATCCTTAATACAAAAATTCTAGTAAGCTACACTCCACAAGTACTTCTTTCTCAGTTTTTTGTTTGTAGGTCTCATAAAGACCTGATTTCAAGGGCTTAGTACTACCAAGATACACGTACTAGGGAAGAAAAACAAGTGCTGTTGCTTCCAACATCTCTACAGGCTTAACATCCTCTAAGGAGAGCATTGCCTTTGCTTACAATGTATTCCTTATAAAGTCTCATTGGTGACTTCTCCGTTTTTCACTCTTCTTTAACATCTGTTTTCTGTTTACTGCTAGTGACAGACCTACTCTAAATGAACTCTTGGGACCTTTGTGGGCAAGATTATTTACGTGCCATACCAGAAAACAAACAAACTGGTTCCTGCCCCACTTCATTGGCAAGGCTGGAAGACGCTCAACTTTTGTCATGCCAGCTTTCAGATAAATACCTTTTTTCACAGTTTACACTTTCCAAAGTTTGGTGCATATTTTAATAAGACCATTATTCAAGAATTTGGATTAACTTTTCTTTTTCTTTTCTTTTTTTTTTTTTTTTTTGAAAAGAGAGTATCACCCAAGACTATTCTATTTTACACTGGCAAATGTGAACGTATTGAACATTTTCTGGGACCTTCTTTCTTTTTAGATCCAGTTTGTTTGGTTTGCTTGCTTGGTTTTAGAGCCTAATCTATGATAAGCGTTATTATAATATTTGACCATTTAATTCACACAAGAATCTGATAAAGTAATTTTATTATTCTGTCAATAAGAAAAGTTCCATGAGAGATTGGTTGAGTTGCCCAAAATCTCACAACTATGAAATAACAGATGTCTGATTCATACCAAGCATTGCGGATTACAAATCATACCCTTTTTACTATACTATAGTGGCTTTCTAAAGCACTTGACCCTGAAGAAAAACTTCATTTTTACACTGGATTCTATCTATTGTCCCTCATTCCAAAGCCTATTTTTTTTCTTTTAACTATTTTCCCTTAAACTATTTCTCTATCCCCCCAGCATTCCTTAATCAAACTGCAAAATTACTTATCAAGGTTTAATCTAGACATTATATAGTTTCTGAATTTACAAAATTTTCCATTTTAAGAACTTATTTAGAAATAAGCTGAAATAATGATTAAGTGAAAAAAAGCAACAAGAAATTGATATTACTTGATGCTTGAAATGTTGGAGTAATAAAAGGCCAGCCAATGCTGTATTTATGCAACATATCATTCTCCAAAAATACTTCAGGCCAACTATATAAAAATAATCAGGAAGAATTTAGGTAAAATTCATGAAAATATAATAAGTTGCACATAATAACCTTGCTGTTTGAGGGCACGGCCTGTGTTTTGTGATTGTAACAGCAGAGAAACTCTCAAATTTTTCAATAGGACCCTTACTGTTGCCCTAGCAGAGAGGTAATTCCCAGGTTAAATAAACGATGAGTCTGTCCTAAAATGGAACTTGAAATATTATTTGAATGTTTACCCTGCTTTGGATTTTTTCAGTCATGACTATTTTAGGAAACATAATTGACCTAACTTTGACCTAATGGGGTAGAAGTGAAAACACAGTGCAGTCATCTTTTATTCCTTTCATGGTTACTTATCGGATGACTATTATAAGAAATACACCTCACCAGACAAAAAGAAGCAGAAGAAACTAGTACATGAGAATAAACTGATAAGAAATGCAAGAAGATATATCAGATTATAAAACATTTATTTTCTTTATTTTTTTATCTTTAAGTTCTGGGATACTTGTGCAGGACATGAAGGTTTGTTACATAGGAATACATGTGCCATGGTGGTTCGCGGCACCTGTCCACCCGTCATCCAGGTTTTAAGCCCCACATGCATTTGCTATTTGTCCTGATGGTCTCCCTCCCCTAGCCCCTCACCTCCCGACAGGCCCCGGTGTGTGATGTCCCCCTTCCTGTGTCCATAATGAAACATTTTTCCTAAAGTATATATTTACTAAATATATGATAAGCTGAGCAACTTACAAAAACAAATCGAGGACATGAGGACCTTTGTTTAACCAATGATTTCTCAGTGCCACCAAAGATATTTAATGCTATAACTGTGGTGTAAACTAAAACAATTTTTAATATACTCTATAAAAATCTGGGTTGTTAGAAAAATCCATGGGAATTCAAATGAATATTGCTAAAATACTAATGAACAGAAAATAAGGAATTAAATCTCTTGGTACGATAGAGTGTGTATAACAAAATAATCTACTTCAAATATGCTTGAGGAAACTCAAAATTATATTTTAAGGTAGCAATTTTTCCAGTTTACTATTTCTATTTTTCTTCTGGTGCCACTTTTCTCTGGAATAAAAATATGATCTCTTAAGTAAAATTCTTTTTAAAAAACTAAAAAAAGATATTTTAGAAAGTTTTTCCAACTCTTGGTTCCGGGGTTGGATTTTCTTTCCAGCGCATTATGCAAATAATTCACTTTACAGAGGGAGATTTTCTGTTCAAACTTTGCTTCCAGAAGCCCTAAACGTGAATGTTCCAGAGTTTATTCGTTTAAGAAAAATGAAAAAAAAAAAAAAAGAAAAGAAAAATGAAAGATCAGGCATGTTTTGTTAAAAGAAGTACAACAAACTGGAGAGAGGGTGGCTTTTATTAAAGCTCTGTTGCTTCTTAGAGAATGTTATTACCGCTTAGCATCCTCCGCCTCCGATCTCGTGCATTCCTCAAGTCCAGAAACACCTGGAGTGACTGGCGTTTCCTGTTCTCCCTGTTCTGGGAAATATGAGGGACTGCCAGGAAAAGAGTACGGGGAGGGGGGGGCTCTTGGTCCCTGCACAGCAATGTCAGCTGAGGCACAGGCGCCAGGCCTAGGAGTTCCTAGAAAAATAATCAGGAAGCACTTAGACACATCAAATATTAAAAGAGTCCTGATTGTGATGATAATGATGATGATTTTGGCAGTTGCAATAGCACAGCCTTAAGTATGAAGGAAACATGCCAGCTGGAAATACAGGCCGGTAGCAGCATTAAGGATCCAGAGGAGCTGCAAATAGATAACAGTTTTTCCTGTGCTGATTTTATTTCTCTACTCATTCTTTCGGATATGGGCAGGAGAAGGGGAAGGAGGTGGTAGGAGGTGGGCAAGGATCCACCTCAGACCTTTTCTCTTGCTTTCATGTTTTGTTTCGTTTTGGTGTTTTCCCCAAGCTTCCTACTAGAAACTTCTTGAATTTTTAAACGATTAAGAATACACAAGGTGTTCACATTTTTATCCTAAGGTTTTGACTTGTTTCAAAATTCTTTTTTGAACTACAAACTTTTCTATACCTCAGCAGTTATTTATTTCATAAATTTAAATTGTGTAAAGCATTCCCAAAATAAAGAGTGCTTAAATGGCCATCTGAATAAATGGCTGCAGTTTGTGCCTTTGTGGATATAGCAGGCACTCAATGAATAATTATTAAACAAATTGGATTGTAAGAGAATGACTGGATCTAACCAGAATTAAAATTAACCATAAGGGGTACATTGCACATCTCCAAGGTTCTTACTGCTTTTAGTTACCCCAATGGGAGACCCTCTTGAACAAAAGAGGTGAAAAAGGAATCATCACCAGGATGACAATACAGAGCAAACCTGGATTCTTGCTGTTTAGTGACTTTAATTTCCCTTTGTCTGAATTCCCTCTTACATTAACTAAAGTGAGATTTGCTTCTGATGTTACTGGGTAGACTAGGAGAAAATATCTTGGGGACAAAAGGGTGATACTGATGACGGGCAAGATCTCATTGGGCAGGACCCATACAAATAGCACATGGAGGGGAAAGCGGTAGGGAGATGTCCAAGGGTAGGTGGCCCAAGGATCTCAAAAGTGATGCAAACTATTTTAGGAAATGGACAAAAGTGTTCAGGAGCTGGCGCTAAACATTTTCATCTATAGGCATGGATCTATCTTCTTCTTTTTTTTTTTTGAGACAGAATCTCACCCTGTCACCCAGGCTGGAGTGCAGTGGTGCAATCTCAGCTCAAGGCATGGATCCATCTATGGATGGTGGAGACATTATCTTTGTGACTTTATGGCATGAGTAGATTGGGGAAAGGAAACAGAAAACTGAGAACAATGATTAGAAGAATGAAGCCCTATCTTTCAATATAATCTGAGTGTGGTGGAAAGGTTGTTCTGAAATACGATTCTGGGATAATGGATCATGTAGGTAGACAATCCTTTCCACCAAAGACTGTTTTTATAAGTTAAAGTGTGTGTGTGTGTGTGTGTGTGTGTGTGTGTGTGTGTGTGTGTGTGTGCCTGAAGGCATTGGAGAGCTATTAAAAGAAGGAAAATGTTTGGGTCAAGGTTTAGAAGAAGATGAAAATCCAAAAACATGAACCTTTCGTTGAGGGCTGCTTTTTGTCTAGAGGGCTTTGGTCAGTTCTAGAGGCTGCCAAGAAGCTAAGAAATAAATTCGCATTTTGAGAGCCTCAGGAATTAGAAAATTAAATGCTGGTGTCCAGGCCTCACAAGGGGAGGTCAGAGGTGAATCTTGTGTAACACCTTTCACATCCCCTTTGAATCCTACAGAGCTGTACCTAAAAACAGGGATGAATCATAGTACATAAGCCCTGCAGCACAGATGCAAATCATTTCAGCCCCTGAAATCGGATTAGAGTGATTTTATATATACATATATATATATATTCACACACATACACACACACACACACACACACACAAATATACACACACACATACGCCTACACATGCAAATAGATACACATGTGGAATATGTACAATCCACTCTTAGCCATGCCATACTACATCTAAAATTTAACAAAATATAACATGTTAAAAGAAGTCAGAGAAAAGAGAGATTATCATCAAAATAATCTCAAAGGGACAATCATAAGGTTCACAGCTAACTTCTCAATAGCAACAGTGGAATGCAGAATACAAAGATTATATCTTTCAAATACTGAAAGAAAATATCTGCCAACTTCAGAATTCTACCCCCAGCAAAAACAGCCTTCAAAAATAAAGGGGGAATAAATATATATTAAACAGCCGAACTGGGAGAATTCGTCACTCAACACACCCAACTCACACTAAAGAAAATCGTAAAAGGTCTTCTCTAAGCAGGGGAAAACAAAAAACCCTCATAGAAGCTAAATAATACAGGAATAAGGAGAAGCTAAAATGTAAATATGTGCATAAATGTAAGTGTATATTGACAATATAACAAAAATAGTAATATTCTGTGAGATTTGGAATTAAAACACACGACACGAATCATGTGTAAGTCTTGAAGGTCGAGCCAGAAAATGGAATTTGAAAGAGGTAAACTGTATTTGAATATTCTAATGTCTGCATTGTCCAAGAAAAAGGTGAAATTGCCAATTAATATTAGGTTCTGAGAAGTGAAAAAATGCATGCTGTATAATGTATTCTGGTAATCCCTAAGGAAATAATTAAAGCCTATGTAACTTCTAAGCCAAAAAAGGGAAAGAAGAAATAATATACTCAGTCCATTCAAAGGTGGGCCAGAAACAAAGAAAAATAGAATTTGAAACACGTAGAACCAATGGAAATTTAAAAAATTAAATACATCGGTAATTTCATTTAATGGAAATAACCCAATTAAAAGACAAAGATTATCAGGCTGGATTGAAAAATACAACTCTGTGCCTTTTACAAGTGACACAGGTAAAACACAGAATGGATATATACCACAAAAACACTTCCAAAAGAAAGCTGATATGAATATATTAATACCAAACAAAGTAGACTTTTAGGTAATAAGCATTCTTAGAGATAAAGAATAACACTTCATAATTATGACAGTTTCAATTTGTCAAACAAACTTAACAGTTCTAAATGTGCATTTATCAAATACATGTCCTGATACCATATAAGCACAGACTGACAGAATTGAATGAAAAGATGGTTAAAGCCATAACATAATAGAAAGTTTTAACACTCCTTTAAATAAGATAAGCTGGTTTAAAAAATAAGAAAGATATAGAAAATTTCAACTATAAAATTAACCAAGTGACCTAATGGACATATATAGAATACTGTATTCAAAAACTGTAAAATATACTTAATTTTAAAGACACAAGTAATAAAAATGAATATGTAAAATAAAGCTGGAAATCAATAAGAATATAACCAGAAAATCTTACAATTTAAAATTAAGAAATACACTTCTAAATAACTAACAGTTTAGAGAAGAAATAAAAACAAAAAATTAAAAAACATTTTGAACTGCATGATAAAAATTCTACACATCAAATTTAGAAATGCATTTATAGTCTTCTAAGGAGGAAATGTATCGATTTCAATGCGTTTTTTGCTACTTACCAATTTAAAACTGGTCAAATAATAGGATTCGGTATTTCAGAAACATAAAAACATGGAATGGCTCTTAAATCATGATGTAACCAGAACCCACCACCCACCACTTACCCAAAGGTAGCCTTTGGGTCAGGGTTGGGGGGTTCCTCACTATAGTTTCTTCCATGGGCTCCAGAAAAATGTTAGTAAAAAGAGAAGGTTCTTGGATCTTGCAAAAGAAAGAATCCAGAGCGAGTCCACAGAATAAAGTGAAAGCAAGTTTATCAAGAAAGTAAAGAAATGAAAGACTAGCTACTCCACAGACAGAGCAGCCCCAAGGGCTGCTACTTGTCCATTTTTGTGATTTATTTCTTAATTATATGCACTAAGGGGTGGATTATTCATGCCTCTCCTTTTCAGACTATGTAGGGTAACTTCCCGACATTGCCATGGCGGTTGTAAACTGTCATGGGGCTGGTGGGAGTGTAATACTGAGGACTACCAGATGTCTTGCTCATAGTCATCATGGTTTCGGTGGGTTTTGGCCAGCTTCTTTACTACAACCTGTTCTATCAGCAAGGTCTTTAAGACCTGTATCTTGTGCCAAACTGCTATCTCATCCTGTGACTTAGAATGCTTTTAGCCACCTTTAAAGAGTAACTTCTTCCCTGAAGCTTTTCTTCTCTTCCTTAGTGGACCTGTGATTCTCCTGTGACGACACCTGCCACACCGTGTGGGACATTTCTCTTCAGTTTTTTGGATCCTACAGAACAGTTTGTTCCTCTGGGCAGGGAACCCTTCTTACTTATTTTTCTGTCTTTAGAGCTTTAATCAGTGCCTGTCACATGGGGCGGGGGGGAGGGTCTAAAAACATTTATCGATACATGAAAAAAATATGGAATAGTGACTTTATCCTTTTTTGTGTTACCCAGGTGGATAATGAACAACTGAATTTAGAGGACGAAGACATTGATGCCACCAAATTGAGCAATTTCATTGAGATCAACAGCCTCCACATGGTGACAGAGTACAATCCTGTGGTAAACAATATTTCCTGTCCCCCGCCCCTTCGGAGCCTGAGTCAGGGAAGGTACCGGTCTTCACACAGAGGTCTCTTCCTCCCAGAATTCCAATTCTTCAACCGATAATGTCAGGAACTACCATTAATTGAACACCTACTATATTGTTTATGTTACTATCCTTACTGCACCTTTTTAAGGTTGGTCTTGTCCCTGTTAAAGAAACAGAGAAAAGTTAAATGAACTATCACACTGCTAGTAAGAAAGAGAACCAGAACGCAAAGTTAGGTTGACTGACTCAAGGCCAGGTGCAGTGGCTCACAACTGCAATGCCAGCACTGGGGGAGGCCAAGGCCTGAGGATTGCTTGAGCCCAGGAGTTTGAGAACAGCCTGGGCAACATAGCCAGACCTTGTCTCTACAAAAAAAAAAAAAAAAAAAAAAATTTAAATCAGCCAGATATGGTGGTGGGGACCTAAAACAAAATAAAAGTAAGTGAAAGACAAAAAATATGTTAAATGAAGCCCAGTGATCATATGTTTGGATGTCACAGCAATGTAAAGTTTCTATAACTGTTCCCAAACACCCATTTCATTTTCTGTTACTTGTGTCTTCCTCTGGTGTTGCATGCTGCATGCAATCTGGGTAAAAGTGATTGATGGTCCACCTCTCCTGATCACAGTCTGGCCTTCTAACTCTCTCTATAGACTACAGCATAGTCTATAGAATTATCTTATGTGTCCTGTCCTTTATTTTCCCTCACTTGGGTTATAGAATCTTACAGAGTATTAATATCTAGTGATCTACATCATCTCAAAATGCTGCGCTTTCTATTCTCCAATGACAGTACTTTACATGCATGGTGTGATTTTTGAGAACTTAAAAAGCCCTTTCATCCTCATTTTCTCATTTAATTCTCACATTGATATTTTTTGAGGTAGAAGAGAGGAAATTATTGTGTCCATTTCATAGAGGAGAACATTCAAGATCCAAGTGATGACATCACTCAAGGTCACATAATGAGTAAATAGAAAAGGCATAATTTAAGAGAGTAAAAGCAACTGTGATTCAATAGCACATATTGCTGACTTCCATGTTACAGTAGAGGAAATGGGAGTTCAGAAAATTTAAGTAACTTCTTCAAAGCCTTATGGCTAGTAATTGAGCTTCAAAGGCACCCTATGTAGGTATGTCCTTGCTTTTTTATGACTGGTCCCTGTGACTGAATCCTCTGGTTTGTCTATTGCCCTACACTGCCTTCAACAGAAGACACCCCTTTTCTTGTTGACTAAATTCTGGCCCACCTCTAACACCATCTTTATCTCTGTGGAGTTGGTGACTGTTTCTACTTCTGCTAAGACTCCAAACACATATGCCTCTGGGGTGTTGGCAGTAATAGTCAAAAAGGCATTCTTCTGCACGTGGGGCCAGAAAAGATGATTTTATTGCCCCTGGGCTATGGCCCCCGTGTCCTGGCATTTTGCAAGCTAGCTCAGGCAGGGGCAGGAACTGACGTTCCTAGTTTCTTATGCCTGATCTGTCTCTCAATCAATTTGCAGAGCAATGACATATCTTTTTAAAGTTCCATGTGATTAGTGAAGGCAGATTACATCAAGAAAAAAATCAGTAAGAATATCTTTAAAGAAGCAAGTTCCATTTTTATTGCTACTTTTTTTATTTTCTGAAAGTAATATTTTTCTCCTTTGAAGAACTGCCAGTTCTACTCTAGCTATTTCTCATCTGCTTCTAGTGCAAAGGTTTGGGCAGAAAATCCCAGCCCTGTACTTGACCTGCCATGCACTTTTAATGCACATATGTACTCAGTACTTGGCGTCGAGGTGAAATAATCAGGCTATGTCTGTTAGGATTAAACTAATCCACTCTGCTATGGCCAATCCCTTCTGCTAAGATAACTGTGCCTTTTGACATCTTAGTTTTTATTTCTTTTCTCTTCCCAAGAATAATCCTCCATCTTATCTGTAGAATAGCGAATGAATGTTCTACATTTAAGTAGCAGGATTTAGTAAAACAAGAGTAAATCATGAATCGTCCAATCTCCCAAACGTAAAATCTAAAACTTGATTTTAAACTCCATGGAGAAATCTTTAGGAAAGGATCCATTGTGCCTTTCTTGCCTACATATTACCCCCCCACCCCCCACAGCCAAAAGATCTGGGGAACCTCTACAAAAGTGTATAGCTTCAGGAAGAATTCTACCTAGCTGCTCCCTTCCCCATCCTCCTAAGATGCTGCCCAAAGGTTGGTTAACCCACCATGTTCTCTCTTCCTGTGTACACACTAGTTTTGTAACAATGCTTTCTGCATTTAGGGGAGGTGAAAAGAAATACGACTGGTTTAAAGTAGACTTGCAGCATTATTTCAGGACAGTGAAATGAGGGGAACCAGTGCCATGGATTCCCCTTTTTCCTCTCCTCACTCTGACTGGTGGCTGTTCCACTCCTCTAAATCGTTGATAACTTCATGGGAAATCACCTTCTCTAATCAGCAAAACAAGGTCAAATCTTCTTGTCTCCTGAAGAGCTCACCTTCTGCTAACCTTTGGTACACTGGTTTAACCACATCTGGGATAAAATTGGTTTATATGGGGTTTTGCTATCCACTGTGCATGAGGCAGTCCATCTTGATGGTCAAGAGCACGGACTCCAGAGCGAGACCACCTGGTATGAATCCCAGTCTGCCATTTATTTGACTTTGGGAGAATTACTTAGTCTACCTGTGCCTCAATTTCCTCATTTGAAAGACTGGGACCTTGAAGATTATATTACTTATTATATGTTAAGAGTTGAGGACAGTGCCTTCCACATAATCAACAGTCAATAGCTATGAACTACTAATGGTACTCAAAGGCTACATTTTAAGTATCTCTGACTAGTCTTGAACAAGAAGAGGGGCTGAAACAAAGTGACTAATATGTTACATAGTGTATTTGTTAACAAACAGATTACTCCAAATCATAGGTGTTTCAAATGAAAAAACATTGATAATCTCATGCAGTTTCTGCAGGTCATCCAATGTGGGGTGGCTAGGGCTAGGTGCTTCTGGTTTGGGGTCTCTTGGGAGGTTGTGGTCATTGATCAGGGCTGCAGTCATCTGAAGGCTCCACTGGAGCTGGGAATCTGCTTCCAAGATGGCTCCTCCGTATGACTGGTTAGTCAGTGCTGGCTGTTAAAAGAAGGCCTTAGTTCCTTGCCATGTGTTTCTCCTCAGAGGACTGCTTAAGTCCCCTACATTGGGGATGGTATTTCTCAGAGTGAGAGATGTGAGAGAGAGACTATCAGAGACCTAATATCTTTTAAGACTTCACCTTGGAAGTCACACTCCATCATTTCTGCAACATTGTCTCAGTTACTCAGTTCAGCCCCATTCAGTGTGAGAAGGAAGGATCTACACAGCTGCATGAAAGCAAGGTGGTGAGGCTTAGTGAGAGGCATCTTGGAAGCGAGTTCTGTTTGTGTTACCAGTGGCCAGCTCTCACTTATGTTTCAGTCTACCTTTTCACTCCTTCCCAGCCACTAAGGCATTCTTCCTCTCTCTTTCACTCTGCTATAACACATTTCGACTTGCCAGACTGCAATTGGGCTATTCAACAGCGTAATTCAGATTCATCTTCTCCTGATAATGAACAAGGCCTCTCCAGAGTATGAAGAGAACATGCAAAGATACCAGAAGGCAGCCAAGCTCTTCCAGGGGAAGGTAAGGCAAGAATGGGAATATCCTGTTGCATGCACACCACCAGGACACTAGGAAAAGGGAGATGGGGCTAGGGAGCAGAGATAAATAAGGAAAACGGCTATGATTAGGAGAGAGCAAAGCAAGAAGTAGGACACAATAAATCACATTATTTGAAATTGGAGCTGTTGTATTTTATCATATTAAAGGCATATCTAATGATAGTAATTACTATAGTGATTACTATAGTGATTACACTTCCTGTAGCGATTAAGTCTGGGTCTTTTTCTGCATTGGTTGGTAGAGAGAAAATAGAGATCCAAAGACACTGAAAACAAAATCACCTGTAAGTCACAATTTGTTTAATCCTTCCCATCATTTCTTAGAGATTTAGACCTCAGGGCTTATTTCTCATATAAAACACCTATCAAGTACCTGGTGGCTACTCAGTATCCAATGAGTATTTCTTTCTTCCCCTCTTCCCCTTTGTGAAGTTCTGCTTGATATCACTGAAATAGTAAAGCTTCAACTGCTGCAAGGCTGCTATGCCTAACTAGTGACTGTTCTAATGATGAAAACTGGTAACTAAATAAGCTGACTTTCTGATGGTTGGTTCTCTAACACTGGAAGTTTTTAGTCTTGCTGAAAGTAGACAGTTATCTGATCAGAATATTATAAAGAAGATTTCTACTTTTGGTTGAAGCTTTGATTGAATACTATAAAATAGTTTACATTTATCAAGCCCTTACTATATGCCAAAAACTAAATAAACGTATTAATGCTTTACCTCATTTAATTTCCCTCACCAAAAGCCCATTTTGCCAAGGAGAAAACGGAGCCTCGGAGAGGCTGAGTAATGTGCCCAAACTCACACAGCTGGAGAGTACCAGGGGCAGAATTTAAAACTTGTTCTCTGCTCCTAACCATTAGGCTAACCTTCCTTTCTTGGATAGTCGCTAAAATATTCTCCAATTCTGTGTTCTTAAAATTAAAGCAATCCGGTCAAAGGGATAAAACACGAAAGCAACACAAAATAATAGGAAGTTCATTTATTTAACTTTTAAGTTCAGGGGTACATGTGAAGCCTTGTTACATAGGTGAACTGTGTCACAGGGCTTTGTGTACAGATTATTTCATCATCCACGTAGCAAGCCCAGCACCTAATTGTTGTCTTTTCTGCTCTTCTCCCTCCTGCCACCCTCCACCCCCAAGTAGACCCCAGTGTCTGTTGTTTCCTTCTTTGTGTTCATGAGTTCTCATCATTTAGCTCCCACTTATAAGTGAGAACAGGTGGAATTTGGTTTGCTCTTCCTGCATTAGTTTGCTAAGGATAATAGCCTCCAGCTCCATCCATGTTCCCACAAAAGACGTGATTTTGTTCTTTGTTATGGCTGCAAAAATTTATTTTAGTTCAAGATTTAAATTGCATGGTGCAGACCATAAATTCAATCAGTGTAAGCTGCAACAATTACAAGGTATCTCTTTATCCCTAGGACCTCAGGTAGAACTTTTTCTTTTAAATTTCCCCAACTGCAGATTCTCTTTATTCTGGTGGACAGTGGTATGAAAGAAAATGGGAAGGTGATATCATTTTTCAAACTAAAGGAGTCTCAGCTGCCAGCACTGGCAATTTACCGGACTATAGATGATGAGTGGGATACACTGCCCACAGTAGAAGTTTCCGTAGAGCATGTCCAAAACTTTTGTGATGGATTTCTAAGAGGAAAATTGTTGGTAAGTGTGAGACTGCAGGTAAGGCAAGCTGTTTTCTTTCTATATCCCTTTTATTTCCTGTTGAAGAAGAATCATTTGGGCTCAGAGAGTGGGGAGGGCCAAATGTTGGTTAATGGATACCAAGTGCAGCTAGATAGGAGGAATGTCTAGTGTTCTATAGTACTACAGGGTGGCTGGAATTAAGAAAAATTTATTATATATTTTCAAATAGCTGGAAGAGTAGAGTTTGAATATTTCCAACACAAAGAAATGATAAATGTTTGAGGTGATAGATATTCTAATTATCCTGATTTGGTCACTATACATTGTATATATGTATTGAAATATCACTCTGTACTCCATGAAAATGTAATTATTATGTATTAATTATAAACAATAATAAAAGCAAAATAATTAAAGTTTTTTTAAAAAGGATTATTTGTGCTCTACTGGATTTGATTAAAAGCGAAAGTCTAGGAGGATGTGGTGGCCAGATCAAGATACTTATTAGGATACATTCATGAGACTAGAACTAGAAAAGCATTTTTGGAAAGGCCTTGCATATTCAGAGGCTTAATTTTGTACTTCAGCATTTAGTTTAAAGTATTAATGGGCAACAAATCAAACTTCATATAAAAGAGTTCATGAGGTAAAAATTAAAGATGGACTTAGGACTTCCAGGAGTAATCAGACAGCTGAGTTTACTAATCCCAGAGTGAACTCCAAATCTAAATATCATTGTGATGTTTTCCAGAAAGAAAATCATGAAGCAGATGAAAAGCCTCCAAAGGTGGAACTCTGACTTCTCCCTGGTACTGCATATGACCAAGTGTCTACTTTATGCAAAGTAAAAAGGCCCAACTCAAATCTCAGAGACGCTAAACAGTAGGATCACAAAGCCTGCAAACCATATACACACAGAGAGAGATCATTTTCTTTCTCAAAATATCATTTTCTCTTCTTCTTTCTTTTAAATGTCCTATCCTCACCCCCTACCCAATTTCCTATTGTGCATTCACACTGTGTGAGCCCATCAATAACACCACTAGATCAAGGCTTTAAGAGACTCACTGTGATATCTCTATGGAAAGACATTCCTAGAGAAGGATTGTTCTGATTTGTCATTTAATATTAAGTTTCTATACTGCATGTGACTTACACACAACATAGGTCCTGCTCTTTTAAGGTTACCTAAGGGTTGAAACTCTACCTTGTTTCATAAGCAACATGTCCATCTCCAACTCAGGACCAAAAACTAAAGGATGGTTTTAAACACCTTTCTGAAATTGCCTTTTTGCCAGAAGGTGAAGGCTGTCTCCATGTCTCCAAACCCAGCAGAAATAGACCATGTGAAAACTCCATGCTTGGTTAGCATCGCCAACTCCCCGTGTAAATCAACAACTTGCATAATAAATAAAAGGCAATCATGTTATAGGAAAAGCCTGACAACTCTTTGCAGGCCAAACCTTTTGTAAATACCCAGCTGCCCAACTAAGCATCATGTTCCTCACTCTGCAGTGCCCACTATTTAGTGTCGGGCCATAAGCCACTAACATGTTATTGTTCACTCTGTGGGTGGGATGGGTGGAAAGTAGAGACCATCCTGCATGAGGACTGGGACAAATGTGGCAACGAAGCTAGGAAGCAAATTAGGTAAAAGGTTGGGGAACGGATAGGAGAAGCAGGGCACTGGCAGGGGGTGTGCTGAGGCTGACTTGGATTATTGCAGGTAGGGTGTGTGATCCAGCTCCCGTGGGGTGAAAGGAGAGCTTGGCTGAGTGTCTCTGGCCCACAGGCTGTTACTGTCAACACACAGATGCTGCATTGTTCCCAGGAGGCCCTTGGCTCAGGAGGAAAGTGCCTAAGTGTTGAAGAGCTGAAAAACCACAGATGTACCTAAGGACTGGTCCAAGTGAGGAACAGGGAGTGAAAGGCTCAGTTGTTTCTTTCTGTGGGGAAAAGTCCACAGCCCCTGGGCGGGAGTCAGCTGCTGGCACCCACACTGTGAAAGCCCCAGTATAAGGCGTGCCCTTCAGCAATGAGACTGAGGGATTCTGTGGAGGTCACCCAGTCCATCCCAGGGCTGCAATCCAAACAGCCTCTCACTTGAGGCTGAAAAAATATTCCTAAGGTAGGCACATCCCAGAAGGCTCCTTTTGATCCTGTAAATGAGAACTCTTGACATTTACGGTCAGGAAATTCTTCCTGATATCCAGCTGAGGTGCTCTGGCCATGCAAGGTATTTTGTCTTGCCCACCCTTTGTGGAAATTCTTAACAGCTCCCAGACACCCTCCTCCAACGGTGCCTTTAATCCCTTGTTGGCTGCACTGAAGCCCTTTTTTCCAGCCATCTTTCCCCAGTACTCACAATCTGACTCTCATCATTTGGTTTCTATTTCCAAATCATTTGATTTACTTCATTGTTTTTCTCTCCCCACACTTTCCCAAATTCTTCACTTTCTTACTTAAAACAGTAGGAACCCAAACCATAGTAGGACACATGAGCTACATTTTGTTCAATATTGTGCTAATTTTTCAATTATTTTTCTTGAAGTGTTCCCCTCAAAAACCACATTGAGATACCATCTCACACCAGTTAGAATGGCGATCATTAAAAAATGAGACAACAGATGCTGGAGAGGATGTGGAGAAATAGGAATGCTTTTACACTGTTGGTGGGAGTGTAAATTAGTTCAACCATTGTGGAAGACAGTGTGGTGATTCCTCAAGGACCTAGAAACAGAAATACCCTTCGACTCAGCAATCCCATTACTGGGTATATACCCAAAAATTATAAATCATTCTATTATAAAGACACATGAACACATATGTTTATTGTGGCATTATTCACAATAGCAAAGACTTGGAACCAACCTAAATGCCTATCGATGATAGACTGGATAAAGAAAATGTTGCACATATGCAACATGGAATACTATGCAACCATAAGAAAGGATGAGTGCATGTCCTTTGCAGGGATGTGGATGAAGTTGGAATCCATCATTTTCAGCAAACTGATACAAGAACAGAAAACTAAACGTTGCATGTTCTCACTCATAAGTGGGCATTGAACAATGAGAACACATGGATGCGGGAAGGGGAACGGGAACGTCACACACTGGGGCCTATTGGGGGATGGGGGGCTAGGGGAGGAATAGCAGAGGTAGGACAGCATTTGGAGAAATACCTAATGTAGATGACGGGGTGATGGGTGCAGCAAACCACCATGGCACATGTATACCTATGTAACAAACCTGCATGTTCTGCACATGTACCTCAGAATTTAAAGCATAATAATAATTTTTTTAAATGCATGTAAGAACACTATAGGAACAAGAGAATGTATGCATGTGATTATATGGAATGAACATAGCAGCATAAAAAAGCCATATCCATACTCTGATTGAAACAACTATAAAAACAGTTTGCATATATCAATTGAAAGACAGCTCACAAAGCGAAAATCAATCTGAAATGGGACAGATAAGTAACATTTTCCTTTTTATCTCAAAATTGCATTTAGTGTTGATGTTACAGTATTGTTTTAAAATAAGGAAGATTGTATCTTAAAATAGATTAAATAAACAAGTCTTTTAAAAAATGATAATCAGTACCGACCACATAGGTCTTAACATCTTTACAATGCATTTCTCTACTTGCTGGCATTCAGTAGCAATTTTACCATATGTTGTTTTATATGCTTAGTTGTGTGTGTATAGCATTGAATTGAATTATTCCTTCTCATCTTGTGGTTCTTCATAACTGCCAGTTATTTTGGCTGGTCTTCTTCAGAAACATTCGTGTTCTTTGTAGTTCTGGGGACTCATGACCAAAGAATAGGGCTTCAGGGAGAAGAAATTTCTAAAGGTTTTCACTCATTTGTTAAAAATCAGATCTCATAAGCATCTGCATTTTTTTCTCTTTGAATAATCTCTTACCAGGTCTACATTCATTTCCCCAGGGTTATGTTATTGTTGAGATATCTAGATACATCTTAGCTAATTTTTATTGTAGAATCACTCATTGGCCCTTACTGACAAGACTACTGTACTTTTTCTTTACAGTATGAAGGAAGTGATAATGTTATACAACATACATTCGAAAAAGATGTTGGCTGGGTGCGGTGGCTCACACCTGTAATCCCAGCTCTTTGGGAGGCCAAGATGGGCAGATCACAAGGTCAAGAGATTGAAACCATCCTAGCCAACATGGTGAAACCCCGTCTCTATTAAAAATACAAAAATTAGCTGGGTGTGGTAACACATGCCTCTAGTCCCAGCTACTCGGAAGGCTGAGGCAGGAGCATTGCTTGAACCCAGGAGGCGGAGGTTGCAATGAGCTGAGATTGTGCCACTGCACTCCAGCTGTGCTCCTGGTGACGGAGCGAAACTCTGTCTCAAAAAAAAAAAAAAAAGAAAGAAAAGAAAAGAAAAAGATGTTAACATATTTGGACGACTATGATGGAAGGAGAGGGACTGAAGCAGGACTCAAAGGAATGACTGGAAAGTTTGGGTTTGAGTCTCACCTATTCTATGTGTGCGCCTCTGTGACACTGGGAAAACTACTTTTATCTTTGCACTTTAGTTTACTTAGGGTAATGTAATAATTCTTAGAATTGCTTGAGATGCCAAGGTGATAATTCATATTAAGTAAAGTTTGTCTATTACTTTTCTTTTAAGTTAATACTACATTGCACCAAAATAGTCATTTCTCTAGTTGTCAGAACTTATGGGAAGGCAGAGACTTCTTTCAGGCTATTTCTTTGAGGCAGAAAAAGTATTTGAGGTAACAGTTTTTAAATGTAGGTTTTATTACATTCTTGATATGCGGAGGCCAACAGACCCAAAAGATTGCCATTTGAAAGATAGTTTATTGCTCACAGTTCCCAAGAGAAGGAAGCATGACAACACACTGTGCAGAGCCACATGGGGAAGCATCTGGGTTAATCAGAAGGTAGAAGGAGTAAGGGGAAAATGACAAGGGCCTTTATTATCGTTTTTTACGGGGAGAAATGGGAGATAGCTAGGAGCGTAAGGAGGCTTAGGATTGGCTGGTTTTAATAATTTCAGTAGGCTCTGGGGCATAGGAGCTGTCCCTTGTTGCCGGGAACCTGGCTCTGGGTTGAGTAAGGCTGGGTGGTAGCCCAGTATGTGATAGTCCAGTAAGGAGATAGTTGGGGTATGGACTCTGAATCAGTTGGTTTGCATATAAAAAGCTATACTAGCAGGTGAGTTCATTGCTATCTCTAGGAACTGGCTATCTCTAGGAGGAAGGGGCAATCTCTGCAGGGTAACCAAAGCCCCAAATGTCAAAGCCTTAGAAATACATAGATAGGAGGCCAGGCGCGGTGGCTCATGCCTATAATCCCAGCACTTTGGGAGGCCGAGGTGGGTGGATCACGAGGTCACGAGATCGAGACCATCCTGGTCGACATGGTGAAACCCCGTCTCCACTAAAAATACAAAAACTAGCTGGGCATGGTGGCGCCTGCCTGTAATCCCAGCTACTTGGAAGGCTGAGGCAGGAGAATTGCCTGAACCCAGGAGGCGGAGGTTGCGGTGAGCCGAGATTGCGCCATTGCACTCCAGCCTGGGTAACAAGAGCGAAACTCCGTCTCAAAAAAAAAAAAAAAATACATAGATAGTAAAATAGCTCTGATATCCATTTGTCATGGAGTTCCTCTCCTACCTCACCTACTGGGTCATGCCAGAAGGAAAGGCTGCCTTCATCAGGCCCATCGCAATACACATATAACTTGAGCAGCCATGAGTAGGATGAGGGCTATGTAGCATATTGAGAGACAGAGCAGTTTATTTATATACTCATTCATTCATTTAAATATTTATTAAACAACTATAAGTGTGCCCGGAAAACTGCCCCTTGAGAGAGAGAGGAATTGGTGATGATTGGATGATGAGC